TTTAAATTGGTTGCTATCCATCCCTTGGCAATTCCTTTACCTCTCATTGATCAGGATTTTCCTTTTCCAATAACATACATTCCAAGTCTTTGCAGCTCTCCTCAACTCTCTATCCTCTTGCCTCCCTAAGGCTTTGCCCCCTGCCCTTCTTTATGAGGAAGTGAGGGTGGGGGAAGACCTTAGTACTAATCCTGTCATTTTCTCACATTTCTACACCCATTTGAGACGTAGTCATATCCCTCATTTTTTAGACAAGTAACTACCTATGTGCTAAAACCCATCCTCTTTGGCAGACCCAAAGACATTGATCCATCAATAACTAACTGCTTTCTGTACTTTAATGTCTTCCACCCACTCTCTCCTTCTCAGCCTTCATATGCCTGAACTGATCTATCATTCATTCATTAAACCTGAAATCACCACCTGCTGTGGGCCAGAGTCATGCTAATTAGTCATTGGAGTTACAAAGAGAGTCCCTGTTCTCAAGTACCATATAGTAGGAAAAAAACTAAACCAAGTACACTGTTAAAACTACCATGACAGATGTATATGTGGAGTGCTGTAGGGTACATGTAATTCACAATGGAAGATGAGGTAAGGTTTTCTGGTAGAGGGGAAACCATGGCTGAATCTTGATCAAGAGATACGTATAAGGCAGGTAGAGAAGGTAAAGGACATCATTCGTGTTGTCTTTTTCTCTCCTTTCTCTTTTCCTCATTGTCAAAAGTTGTTAGGTTGTTTTTAGTAATCTGTGTCAATATTCACACATCACACACTCACACATTCATGAATAACACACATTCATTCCGATATCCACTTCAATCTGCTTTCACTACTATAATGCTACTATGACACTATGAAAAAAGTTCTTACAACATCATCTTACCCAGTATTTTCAGACTCAAACATTTCTGACCATTTCCACCTTTTTAAAATCTTCTACGTCCTTAGCATATAAGTCGTCACTCTTTTTTCTTTACACTCTGAATTATTTACTCCTTTTCAGTCTCTTACTAATTTCCCCTACTTCCAAGAATCTTTAGTGCTCTTTTCCTCAGGATTTTGCCTTTAATCCTTTGTTGTTTATTCCCATTGACTTACAAATCTATTATCTCCAGGTATATCTGTCTTCTAAGATTTTGACTCATGTTACCTACATCCTTATCTATATATCCAATTTCACCGAAAACAACAGATTAAAATATGAACTTTATTTTTCCTTTTAAACCTCTTCCTATCTCAATGACTTCTTTTACTTTCCATTTAGTTACATTAGCAGGTATCTCAGAATCACCATTAGCAAACTTCCTATACTACTTTCTCCAAATTTATTTGATTCAGCAAATGCCACTAGTTAAAATAAAAGAATGCAAAAAGATGTGTGATTAAAACACTCAGAAGACTGAAGAAGAAAATAAATTACCAGGAATAAAGAAAAACAAAATTTAATGATAAAGGGTTCAGTTCATCAAGATGACATAACAATTTTAAATGTGCATGTGCCTAATAATTTTAAAATGTGTAAAGCAAAAGCCATTAGAACTAAGAGAAGAAAAAGATAATCAACTATTTTAGTTACAACTTTAATACTCATCTCAGTCATTGATAAAACAGGTAGACAAATCAGTAATGGTATAGAAGACCAGAAACCAGCTATCAACCAACTCCATCTAACTGATATTTATAGAACATCTCAATTGGTAGCAGCAGAACATACAAAACATTCACCAAATAAGACCATATCCTCTACCATAAAGTGAATGTCAACAAATTTTAAAAGCCAATATAAATTGTATGTGCTTTGTGTGACCTTAGGAAATTAAAGTTAGGAACAGAAAGTTAACTGTATAATTCATGAACATGGGGAAAGTAAATGGCGTAACTCTAAAAATGCATGGATTAAAGAATGACAATAGACCTTTAAAAATATCTGGAATTGAAAGAAAACTGAAACATTTCAAAAATTTCTGTGCCAAAGTGTTGAGAGATAAATTTATAGCCTTAAAAGCCAATAATAGAAAAGAAGGTCATGAATCAATGATAAAAGCTTCCACCTTAAGAAACCAGAAAAAGATTGAATTAAAAATAAAAAGAGCAAGAACTCAATGCATAGAAAGGAGAAAAGCAAGAGAAAGAAGTCAATGAACCCAAAAATGATTCTTTGGGGTAAAACAGGCAATAGATAGCAATTGAGTAAACCATAGACTTACCAAGAAGCTTGAGAAGAAAGACAGAATAAGAAGATTCAGAGAATAAGGGCCTTGAAAAGGTTCATTATATTCCTGGGAATCTAGAAAATCATGCACATAACCAGAACTGTGCACATGCTCAGGATATACCTAAGAAGACCTTGAGCTCTCATGGCTGGCTGACCTTAACTTCTGTGAAAGTAAGGAAAGAAGGGTAAGGCAGAGTTGTAAGTTGCCTGAGTATTGTATGTGTAACCCAACGTAAAAATTTAGCTCCTCTGGAAAGACTGGGAGTTTTTTAATTTCCAGACATTTAAGAAAACCTCTATCCATTCATTAGCTGACCACCAAGCTAATAGAACAAAGACTTCAGTGGCCACACACATCTCTCTCTTAAAGCCAGGGAGTTTTGAAATCCAGGATCCCAGACTTCCCAAGTTCAGATAACTATTTATGAACCAAAATTTCACAAAAGAAACTAAAGTGATACATACTTTCCACCTTGACATCAGCCTTCATGAAAAATGTATACTCCTTCAAGCTAAATGTCTCGTTTAATTTTGGCATGGGCAGAGTCAAAATACTTGATAAATGCACCACGAAATAGCCATTATTTATTCACTATTTAGATAAACATGGTTTCTCTCCTCACATGGGTTTAGACAACCACAGAGCAGTTTTGCTCTTTCTTACATGCAGCTTTCTCATGCTGTCCTCTTGACTTCCATCAGTCAGCCTCTTCATTCTCCTTTGTGTCCAAAGAACCCCTGCTAAGGTCTGCTCTAATACTTCCCAGAAAGATGACTCTAGGAGCCCTGAAACAGACCAAGCCAGGCAGCTGGATCATTTGTTAGAGGTGAGCTCAATTCCATAACATCCACACTGTCGAGACTCACAAATCTGCCAAGCCCCAGTTCAGACTGAGAGGTGGGAATCAGAAACGATTTAAGGGTAGAGGGAAAAGAAAGACCAAATGAATTCTATATCCTGACTATAAATTCCTGTAATTGTACCTCTGTTTTAAAAGCCTGGACATGAAGAGTTCTTAATTTAATCATCCCATACAGGTTAGGAAGGAAATGAGGAATTCCAGCAAGGGCTGAATGCTATCATGTTTTCATCAAGGACCACAACAGAATATAAACTCGTGGAGGATTCCATCATCTTTTCAGACCAATGTATTGGCTATTGTAAGACCATTCATTAAATCTGCCCTACTCCATATTAAATCTTTAATTTGCCACCACTTTAGCAGGCTTAGATGTTAGGCTGGAAAAAGGAGAAATGGTACAGAAAAAAGAAAGGAAAGATCCTACAACCATAAAGAATTGGTAAAGCACTGCATCAGACCACAGGGTTCTGCAGGGGAAAGAACTATGTCACCATGACAACCTGGGGTATTTTTATTGAGAGTTGGTAGGTTACACAGAAACATTTTCCAGGATTGGAGGTTGAAAGTGGCATATAAGAACATGTGTGGGTGTTGAGAGACACTTCAAATTTGGATTTTTATCTCTCTTTTTTTTTTAGTTTTTCCTTGCAATGCCCATGTTGCCAAATACAGTTTTTAAGAGCAAAAGGGAAAAAATTTATACCCCATATTTATATATTTACATGTATATATGATTATGTGATTTCACTAATTGGAAGTTTTCATTAACAAAGGCTACACGGTTTCTTAAAGAAGAGGAGAAAGTTATATCAATAGTTCAGAATAGGTTATTATACATTAGCATATCCATCCTTGACTAAAAATACTGAAAGCATCAGATGGGTAGTTCTCTGAGATACTGAATCTGTGCTGTATTACTCTTCATTTGACTTTATAACATTTTTATCTTATGTTTTTAATTTCCTCTGGTCTGTATCTCAAAGGTGTGCACAAAGCTCTGTTAAATGTGCATTATCTACTCAGTTTATGCTAGTATATTTAACCAAGTTTATGTGTTCAAGTTTGTTTTGAATGCAAAGCTGATGCAAAATAAAACAAAATATTTCTGCCTCTCCATGCCTTAGATATTTCACAGCTATCATTTTATTTAACCCTCACAGTATTTCATAAGTATTATTATCTCCATTTTAGAGGTGAGGTAACTGTTATCAAGGAGGTGATATATTTGCCAGTTCCACAGCTGGGAAGTGTTAATACCCAGGTCTATGTGACCCTTGAGAATATTCCCAATACTTCCGTTGCTTCAAATCTCAATGTCCTGATGATTCTTGACACACAGACTTTGCCCTTATAAAGAAATTGTTTCTGGAAAATTACATAATACAATATATTTGTACTTTCAGCTAAGGTACCTTGTAAGTTCTTGCACTGAAGACGACATCCTTTGCTCCAAACACACAGTAATAGGAGATAAAATATAAAGATAAATTAAGAAATAAGAAAAACCACAATGATGCTCAGAACTAATGTAAACCTTTCTGAGGTCCAGGAACCTCAAAGCTGAGGCCTAATGGGCTCCCTATCTAGGAATTTTGCTCTCCTATTTGGTAATAGGGACCAAAATCCTCGCAAAAAAGGGAAAGGATGGAATCAGGCTCACCACTGAAATAAGCGATTTCCTCATCCATGAAAAAAGGTTGAAAAGAGTTGCAGTGACTACTTTCAGAGCCGTGGCCTAGGGAGGCAGGAGAAAAGGAACACAGTTTCTCATCCAGTAACTGGGCCAAGATACCCACTAGCTCAGAGGCTGGTCTGCATATCTCTTGATAGCATAGCTAGAAGGTCTAAACCACTGACAGAGTTCTAATCTTAGTCTGGGAGTACTTTAAGGAGAAATGGAGGCAACTAAGACAGAAAGCATTAACAAAGAGAGAGAAAAAAATAAATAAATTTCATAATCAGATGTCTGCACATCAGAGTTCTAAAACACAAGAGGAAATTCACATTCAGATCATCAAGCAACAAAATCAAAGAAGAGGAAGTAAATTATTCTAGATGAAATGGACATAACAGAATAATGTAAAAATGAGTTTCAAATATGCATGTTTGGTATTCTCTGATAGAAGTAAAATAAAGAACAAGGAATTATAAAAGCAAGCAGAAATAAAACAAAAAATGTCAATGTGGAAAGGTATCTGCTAGAAATTTTAGAAATAACAAAATACGGTCATCGAAGTAATCAACAAAATACACTCTAGATTGGTCTCAGTTGAAGAAAAAATTAGTAAATTAACTGAACTGAGGAATTCACCCAGATCTCAGCAGAGGCAGGATAAGAAAGAGAAGGAGAAGGGGGAAGAGGAGTGATTAAAAACAGTCCAGACAAAAAAATGATGAGGTTTTGATAGTGATTTAATAAGAATTCCCGGACAAGATATAAAGGCACTAGTGGAAAACAATGTTCAAAGAAATAACCAGTCAGCATTTTCTGAACTGAACAAAGAAATTAATCTTCCGAATGAAAGTGCACACTGAGTACTAATCAAAATAAACAAAAACAATTCCATATATATACAATATAGATCTTAAAAACTAACCAGAGAAAAGAGTTTAGTTATACTTACATCATATTTTTGATGCAACAGTAGATGTTAGAACAAAGTAAGTAATATCCCAAAACTATGGAAAAATAACTGTGGATCTCAAACTATACCAAATCCTAAACTATCATTCAAGAGACTGATCTTAATTATGTGAACTTGAATTCTGAAAACATTTCTGAGTTAGCTTCTATAAGAATATTTTTCTTTTAAGTACATCTCCTTTAAAGTATTTCTACTTCATTGATTTCTGGTAATTTTAATAATTAAGTTCACATAAGTGCTTATTTATTTCTATAAGCCAATTAGAACAGAACTCCTTTAACAAAATAAACTTTATAATTTAATTTATTAATATCCTCCAGATATAAGACATACCAAATTCATATATTCCATGAATAACAGACACATAGACATGTGGAGAGTTTATGACTTTGATTCTACAATTTCAGCACAATTTCAAGAGTAAACAAAGAAACATAAAAATTCATTAGTCGGGACATCAAAGACCTGTTTTTCCCAGTGAGGAAAGAATTCTTGAGCTGAGTTCAAAATAGGCAAATAGACAAACAAGATTAGCAAACCAGATTCTCTGTTGTCTGGGGATCAGTAGAAAATAGATCCCTATAAATCATTAATCCTTTTACAAAGATCACCATTGCTCAGACCATATAATTAAGTTTCTGATCATTGCTGCCATTAGAGGGAAATAATTTATTGGCTGAATATACAAACAAAAACAGAACACAAAGTTCGCAGAGAAGAACATTAAAATGAGGAAAACAGAGACTTAAAAAATTCTATTGTGCTTCAGATTCACCTCTGAGAGCAAGAAAAAAAGTTTATGGATTTGACAGTCCATGAGATGCACACCTCTCCGGTGATGTTCATCTGCCTGTCAGATGAATACCTTGGGCATCTCTGTGGGAACCACAAAACTTAAAGGAGAATTCTCATTAAATAATGGAACCAGAAAGATGTTGCAATCTGATCAAGAGAAATCCATGAAGCAAACACTTTATGGATTAGGAATACTGAACCTTGCAAAAAGATGTAAAACTGGCTTTTCTACAGTGGAAGGTTCTCCCACCCTTGGATAGAATTCATTTACATGCCCATAGACAATAACAATTTTACATTACCATCAGTTCTCTCCAAAGTTACTTTAATCTCTACAAAATTCTAAAACACTCTAAAACAAGATAAAGGTGAATATCTTTTAGGATAATGTGATTCTCTAAACTCCAGCATTCCGTAGAAAGGACATCCATTAATCTCTTTCGCTTATTTCAAAGTGCTCCATTTCTCCTTACGCCTCACAAACCAGAGGTTACATGATGTACTAGAGTGAAAAGGTTCTGTTCATTCAGGTCTTCTCTAATTCTGATCCAGTGTTAACCATTCATTCAAAAATATTTTATCTACAATCTATTGTGTAATGAGCACAGCACTAGGTCTAGTAATTTTGAAAATAATGGGTCATGGTCCTTGCTTACAAGGTATTTAAAATCTCATATGGAGCTAAGACATACAAGAAATTACTAGTCAGTCAATTTAATAGATGCAAAATTGTGAGTACAATTAGAAAATAGGGCAGTATAAAGTGGAAATACATTCAATCATCATTATTCCTGCATTATGTATTTGCGAATTTTGCCTATGGCTAAAATTTATCTAACTGCAAAATCAATACTTGCTTAAATAACGTTTCCCAAGAATCTAGAGCCCTATACTAAATTTAATAGCAAGGAACACACAAGACATGCACGTACATTTAAAAATAAGCTGTGTGGATGTGTTTCCACAAAATTAATTGGAAAAATCCGTGGTACCACAGTTCTGTGGGAACGCTGAGAAGGGTTATTTCCCCACCTTGAGCATCCACCTTTCGAATTTCCAGATAACATTATAAAAATAGGCTAAAATACTTATTTTCTTCGTAGCTCACACCCGCATTGCACCCTCCCGCAGGACTTGGAGCTGTTCAGCGCTTTGTTTCTTTCTTTCTGTTTCTTTAAGACAGAGGTCGGGTGCTCTGCCCTATTCCGAAATGCCTGCCCAGGCTTCACACACTCTGCGCATGCTTCCTGTATGCGGAGTTGAGACAATTCCGCGACTTCCGCGGCGCAAGATGGGGACTTGGCTGGCGGCGAGACTGAACCTCCCAGCATGCCTTGCAGTCGGTCCGGGAGTCCCGACGTCTAGTGATGGGGGACCCCTGGTGCTTTGGGCCGCCAGCTCTGTTGTAGAACCTGAGGTTGAGGCCGGGGCCTGGGAATTGGACGTCCGCAGAGGCGGAAGATGGAAGCGTGGCGCTGTATGAGAAGAGGCTACGGCCGCTGCGTAGTGGGACGAGGCCGGTCAGTAGGGCTGGGAGGCTGGAGAGAGGAGGGTGGAGCGGGCGGCCGGGGGGCGGGGGCGGCGGCCCGGGCTCCGCCGGGGCGGGGCGGGCTGGGTCCGGGGAGTAAGGAGGAGGAAGAGGGTCGGGGCGCAGGTGCCGCCGGGACCAGCCTCCGGAGACCCTGTAGGATATATCGGTAAACCCGGCGCCAGCCGGCGGGACGCCCGGCCGACGAGGTCTAGGCCTTGACGCGTGCGTATCGGCCGCCGGCAGGGCTCGTGCCTGCTCGACCAGGCTTGGCCTCGGAGCCCCGGGCCACTTCGCCAACCCGACCTCCAAGCCAGCCTGCTCCTCCCGGGCCCGCGCATCCTCCGGGAACTGAGTCCGCGGGGAGACCGCCCGTTCACAGTGGATCCCGGGGGGCCTGACGCGAGGGGCGCGCGCGCTGCACACGCGCCCGGGGTTTGTTTGTGAGTGTTGTAGTGCCCCTCAAACTTAAGTCACTTGTGTACCAATTTTCATAATTATTACCAAATTCTCGCTCCACGCCAGTATTATCTACTGGGTGCTTTTCTTGGAATTGACTTGCATTTTAAAAAAAAAAAAAACTTCAGTAGGTGCTGCCTTCAATTTAGGTTTGATGTACCGATTATGCTTTTTTTCTAATGAACTTTAAGTACTTAAATATTAAAAAGCAAAAAGATTAATTGTGTACCATATGAAACCGATTGGCGTACCACACTTGGAAAGCATTGCACTGTATTACTACATAAGTTACGGGGATCTTCTGATCTTTTTAACTTTTATAGCCCTGGAACCTGATGACAGTTCAGTTCAACAAGGTTTTCCTGAGTACCAGCTGTGTGCCAGGCACTGTGCTAGGCACTTAAGAGACCGGGATTAAAATGAATAAAAAGCTCTGGAAGGAGTGCAACATCTTAAGAGAAAAATACATCAATATAAGTAGCCACAATGTAGATAGTTTTGTCATACAAGTATTATATTTCAGTACCATCACTTATTAGGATAGAAAAGGTGGAGTAAGTGCCCAAATCTCTGTGATTTTCAGAGTTGTCACAAAGCAGGATAATCTTGCCCATGTCATGCCTTTAAAGATCTATGGTTAAATTGAATTTAGAGGACAAGTTGAGAACAATTAAACTGTAAAAATATATAATAAAAAATGTAAATGCTGGTAAAATAAAAAGACCGTAACATATAAGTCAAGTAACAGTAAATACAGTTTAAGTAAAATTCCTTTGGTGATAGAAGTGGACGTAATATTAAGACAATATTATTATTATCTTGGAAATACACCTTAAATGAATTCTGGAGGAAATGATAGAAGGTCTTGGAATCCTAACATTTTGCCGGCATTGTATAGTAAGAAGAAGATGGTTGTTTAAGTTACATTGTTTCTTAAGAGAGCCTGAGAGCAACATATTTATTGAAACTAATGATAGCAGTACTTTGGAGATATTTTGGATGATAGGTTAAATTGGTGTGGTTGGGTTTGGAGTGTGATGAATACCTAGGATGTAATCTCTATCTTCTTTCATGTCCTGCCAAGGAAAAAACATGCTTTTCATAAAAAATTTTAAGAAATTTAAAAAAAGGAAAATTAACCACCTAGTGATTAGCAAGTGAGAGAGTTTTGTGAAGTTGTGAGAGACTTGTTTTCTTAGCTACACACGTTTGGAAGAATATAACGTTAGTACTAAACTGTTCAGGAACATGTTTTTACTCCAACCCAAGTTGAAGGAGAGATTCTCTTTAATTGTAGCCAGCTTATGTGTTCTGCATGTAAGTATTATGTTTGCTGTGAATTTTATTTGTCCATTAAGTTTATTAGATGGTAGAAAGTGACAGTTGATTAATCTCTCAGTTGAACTGTGTGCTTTTTGAAGTGTATGTGGTGTTTTGGGAGCCTGGTGAATTCTAGTTAAGTGTTTAGAATAACTCATAGTTGTTTAGGAAGAGTATTGAGATATTGCCGCTAATAGTTAAATCATGGCTATTTTTTCTCCCATCCTTCACAAATTCAGAAGTCAGGTTTTAAATATTAGACATCATATTCCCTTGAGGAAATAGATTTAGATTCTGTGTGCTATAGCCAAACAAAAAGTGGTGCCTCAAGGAGTGTATTTATTTCTTTTAGATACCCCATGTTACCCCATCACCAGAAGAGTCTGGGCAGAGACTGGACTGCACCGTGGGAGAATCTGCAAAGGTGTTGCTGGAACAGACATATTTCTAGTTGTGTAAGGTGGCCTGGACATTATTCTCGTGCTCCTTACCCGTACTTCAGCAGTAGGCACTTTTCACTAAATTGGAGACCACCTTGTCTGTTTGAGTCTAGAACTCAGTTTCCATACTGGAACTGGAGACCTGACAACCTGAGCCAGACATCTTTGATTCATCTCTCTAACGGCATGCACTCTGAGGGAGATGAACCTTCGTCAAAACGAAGAAAACACCAAGGTACAGGTGGCATTTATCTTGGTGCAGAAATAGGCATAAGCCATAGACGTTCTGAAATTTTCATATCTAATCATTAAGAAAATCTCCTGCAGGTTTTAGAGGGTTTAGTATGTATTTTCAGCCAATAGTTTTCTGTTAAAAAGAAATTCCTTTTTAAAATAAAATCTTAATTTTTATCTTCAACTAACTGTGAGTTTCTGACAGTAAAATAGAAGTAATACTACATTTAAAGTAACATTGGGAAAGAACGCAGAAGTAGATTAAAACATTATATTAATAAATTTAAAATCCAGTGTTTTTGAAACAAAGGATCTTAGACTTAGAAATTGGTGGATGTATACTTGGGAGTCCACAGATCTATTAAAAAGTAAATTTTGTGTTTTCATTTTTAATGCTGATTTTGAAAACGCAGACTTTTTAATACAGGACAAAAATTTTCTTAAATAGGAACAATAGTTTTGGTTTTTTTACAGAAAAAGATGTTAGCTTATTAAATATGTAATTCTCATATTGGGGCCTAAAGATACTATCTTGAGAGTATAGAAATTTTATCTTTTAAAGAGGGAGCCACATCTTATTCAATTTTAACAGTTTTTTTTCTAAATCTGATGGTTACTTCTATTTCTCTCATATCTTTTCACTGTAAACAATTCACTAGACTCCCCCCTCCCCCGTGCTGCTAGAACCCACCCCTCCATTCCCTCCTGTCCCACCCTGTATACATGAATTGTCTATAGAATTTGGAATTGTCTTTCTTATTCAGCTATGGTTTTCAGTAAAGATAATTCCTCTGCAGATATTTGAAAATAAGCCATATGGCCTATGAAAATAGGCCAATAGGTTATGTGTAGGGAGCTGACACAAGTTTGTCAAAGGAAGACATTCAGAGTGAGTCTCACTCACTTCCACTTCTCTCTCCTTCTAAGTTGAAGTTAGAAGATTGGCTAGGCTATTTGGTTAGTGCTTTTTTAAATAGACATTGTGCTACACATTTAAGTAGAATGCTAAGCAGCACTCAAAAATGAAAGTCTATTTGTATAGCACTTACCCCAGCGTGTGTTTATATGCAAATAGTAATTTGAATGAATGAAAGGTGTATTAGAGGCATTAGAATAAGGTCCCTAAGGACAATTCATGATCTCTAAATACCAGGTTGAATGAGGACATAAGGTTGCTTTTCATTCATGTATTTGTTCACCAGGTCAGCACACTCCTCTTTGGTTTCACCTTTTCTGAATCTGGTACGCTCTCAGGTGGAGCTGTGGCATACTGACGTAAGCATGGGCTCAGGAACCCCTCCCCGCTCTCCTTCTGCTTCACCACTAATTGTGTAAATTCGGACAGGTTACTGACCCTCTCTGCTCCTTGGTTTCCTAATGTGTAAACTAATACCTGCTTCGAAAACCTGTTGAGGATGAAATGAAATTTGTCAAAGTGCCTAACACATTGTTGGCTTCATAGTAGGTACTCGGAAAATCTGTGGTGGTGGTGTTTTCCCTTTCACAGATGGGGACTTACATTTGCGAATTGATGAACTTTGATTGCAACCTGACTCTTTATATATCCATTCTTCCTAGGTATTGTGAATAAGGAAAATGCTCTTCGTTAAGCCATATCTGTGACTTCCGATATTTCACTAATACTTTTCAATCAAGAGAACAGCATTGCTAACTTGCCTACCACTTTAAAGTGGTGTTTGAAGGATTTGTGTGACACAATTATGACTTTTTAATTAGGCACCCTAAAAACCCTATTGCTTACTTTCTTTGATTCATCTGTCTTCTCTGCTGTGATCACCTTGTTCCTCCTGACATGGAAGGTATATAAGCTTTTGTAGTGTGAATTTATGTTGTGACGTATATGAAGGCCAGAGACTGTCCACTCTAGCATTGTTTTCAAACTGTCTTCCATGGAACCCTAGCCTCCAGACACATTTCTGTATGTTTATTAAAAGCAAATGTGGTCATGATAAAATATGTATTTTACCCCATCTCCCCAGCCCCCGCCCCAATGTACCAGGGATTGACGGTCATGACATGAAAAGTGATGCTAAAGCGTTGTAAAAGTTCTAGAAGTTTGAAAGCCACTGTTACGATAATCTGATGGTCTCAGTTACTTAAAAAATAGAATTGCAAGAGTTGGTTTATAAACTCTTAATTGCCAGGACTATACAAATGTTAATGCATTCATATGCCTTTACATGACATAATTTACAAGAAAATGTGAAGGAGTTTTTAGGCCTTCATCTTTCATATTTTAATGTGGTGGTGACATCAGGGTCATGCTGTAACTTTTTGTTAATAGCTTGTATTTTGTTTGCATGATTAGAGCCCTTTCCATCTCATATACATATGAAGATTTCATGATTTGTGGCTAAAACCATCATGAATGGTCCCCAATTTATGAGTGAATTGTGTTCTAGATAATCAGTTGTTGATAATCAGTTCTGTTTCCTCCACAGAAACTGTGTCATAAATGTCAGTGTAGCTCAGTGAAGTTAGTACAGTGAGCTTTAGTTCTGGGCCTTGGAGGGTAGGATTCCCCATGTTCAGTGAAGGATAGAGAAATGATTGGTTCCCTTCCCTTTCCTGGGCAGAGAACAAGTTCTTGGCCAAATTCAGTAATTGTTGAATGCTTTTGTTCAGTTTGGCTTTCTGTCCTTCCGTCTTTGTTCTCTACCCTGCTAGGTTCTCAGGCTCCTGGCACCTTCATGGTATCGTAAGTCCCCAGCATCCCTGTTCCATCCAGACCTCACTGTTCATAAAAATTGTCTTCCTCTTCCATCCTCTGGTCAAAATTTCTGTTCCCTCAGTGCAGCAGATGTCAGCATTTAAATTTTAAGGAAAGCAATCTGATTAAACTCTTTTACCAGAGGGTATTTTTAAATTCTTAAGTATTTTTAAATGCCTCATTGGCATTTCTATAGTGCTTTGATATTCTGATTATAAATATATCACCACTGTGGAAGATTTAGAAAAATCTCCCATAGTCCTTCCACTAGAGATAGCTGTTAAAAATGCTGGTGTATTTCCTTTTAGTCTTTTTCATGAAGAGAATATTTTTCCACAATTTAATTTTTAACTGGTAGAATTTTAGGCGTTGTACCCCAGTGAAGTGAAAACCACATAGGAAAAGGGAGATATTCTAGGGCTGAGATTCTTCTTATAACCTAATGCTTGAAAGTCCATCTCCAAATGTGTTTTCCCAAGTTCTTCCTATTTTTGGTCTCCCTAATCCTCTGAGCTCATAGATTCTCTAAAAGTTCCATGTATTTCTTTATGACCTCCATGGCAATAGGTATCCTCTATAATACTGGGGTGAGGGAGACAAGATCAAAGGGGCACATGTGCATATGCGTGTGTATATATGTTTATGTGGTGGTTATTTCTGAGTCGAGGACTGCCTATGATTGCAAAATCTCATGCTTTTTGATTCTCCTTTCATCACTTTTTCAGGATACATGATGTCTTTGCAGAATAGAAGCTATCACATTCCTGGTTGCCTGCATGCCATTTGTCAACCACCCATTATCATTACTAGCATTCTGTAACTAGGTCACATTTAACTTTTTCTTTGCTGTGCATTAAAAAGATTTGTTCTGTTCATTTTGTTCACATTGTTTCACTAAACACTGCTTCCATATATTGCCATTATACACCCTTCATTCACATCTAAATCAGAACTCTGAGATGAATTATTTCTAGAACTTAATCACTTGATGATCTTATCTTACAGAGAATAAAATATGATGTGAAATCATCTTACTGAAAACCCAACTGTGACTTATAGTCATATTATTACGGTTATAAAGTTGCTAAGGATGTCTGAGGCAAAGCCACTTAACCATAAAGAAGTGAGAAACCATGACCCTGTATAATCTTAGCTTAAGTAACAAACACTTTCAGCCTCCAGAATGACTTTCTAGGTCTTTTTAAACCTGCCTTGTACCCCTTGGTCAGTCTTCTGTCATTTTACTGCCCTTGTAATCAGTTTGATGACAACTTCCAGTACTGCATTGCCTTTCCTGGAAGACATTCTGTTCATTGCCCCTGGGGATTTTTAAAAGGCAAGAAAATACTTATATACAGGAAAATACATGGTCTTTTAAATTATTTCTATTTTGTCTAATATGTTTTAACAGGCGCAATAGAACGGCATTGGGAATACATATGTAACCATAATAAAGAAAAAATGACGATCCTAGGAGACAAAAATGTTGACCCCAAATGTGAAGACAGTGACAACAAGTTTGACTTTTCCGTGATGTCCTATAACATACTTTCACAGGATTTATTGGAAGACAATTCACACCTCTATAGACACTGCCAGCGGCCAGTATTACACTGGAGTTTCAGGTTTCCCAATAGTTTGAAAGAAATTAAACACTTTGATGCAGATGTAAGTGCAAAATATCATCCACATGCTTCACATAAGAAAAAATTGGGCTCATTTGTGAACTAAATGGTTTTATCCCTTTTGTCGGGGAGGTAACAAGGGAAAACATTTAAATATAATAGTGATGGAATAGTTCTTAACAAGGTATCATGACCTCCAAAGAGTCATTTGCTAATGGTTGTAGGTGTAGTCATCTAAATCTTCCAGAAAGATCCAAAAAGTACTAAGTATTGGTCAGTTTTGAGGGAGGGACTGCCAGCATATTAAGTGTTCAGTAAGTATTTCCCATGATTTGAAATTTAAATAATTCATGCAAAAACTAATCTAGATGGCATTCAAATAAATTACCCCTTAGGAAAGGACTAGAAGAATTTATATATAAACTCAGGAAAAATATCTCAAAATGTCAATTAAAAATACTTCCTTTAGGAAATACCAGTTTTAGGTAGTAACAGCTTCATATGATTAAAGGCCAGGATTTGCAGGACTGAATAAATTTGGAAACAATTTGTAGATCTATAAATTACAAGGATTGAAGACACAAAAAGAGGATTATATCTTATTGCATCTTTGATTAGTTTTTAGAATTATAAAAGCCTGTTTTTAAAGATGAAAGCACCAGAAAATTCATATTTGACATTTTTTTCTTCCAAGGTACTTTGTTTGCAAGAAGTTCAAGAAGATCATTATGGAACAGAAATCAGACCAAGTTTGGAATCATTGGGTACAATGTAACTTTTATTTTAGCCAGAAATACTTAGGAAGATTACTTAAGTCTTAAGTAATTACTTAAGGAATACTTAAGGAAGATTACTTAAGAATACTTAAGTCTGACTTGCTAACAAAACTGTATTTGGGCCAAAAAAATCTTAAATTTTGAAAAAACTTAATACCCACTTCAAACGGTCAAGAAAAGATTGAGGTATTTCAAGTGGAAACTTTTGTGCTGATATGTAACTTGAACCCAAACAGAGGTGTCTATTTCCAGAAGCTGCTCTGCCCACCACTAGATCGCTACGATTCTGAATTCCACAAGATCATGGACCATTCTGTCTAGTTCATCATTGTAACACCAAAGTCTACCAGTTCCTAGTGGATAGAAGCTAAAAACCTGCTTGGTGAATGAACGTAGAAACAGATCATTTGTTTGAGAAATGCAGCCAACTTAGCATTTATTCATTCAGTGAATATTTTTTTTAATGCCTGCTACATGCCGTGTACTGTTCTACAGCAGTAAGCAAAACATTAAAAAGTCTCTGCCCTTGTGGAGCATACATCTAGTGAAGAAAGGCTGATAGTAAACCAAATAAATATGTAAATAGCACATTAGGTAATGATAGTTTTCTGGAGAAAAGCAGGAAAATGGAATGGGTCAGATTTCAATTTTAAATAAAATGATTAGAGAAGAAAACGTTTGAGCAAAGATTTGAAAGAGGTGAAGGAACCAACCATTCCTAGATCATTCCAGACAGTGAATGCTTAGAGTGTTCCCTCAAAGCAAAGGCCCTGAGGTTAGAGTGCCTTAGGCAGGTGAGGGGACCAGTGTGTGTGGAGCGGAGCAAGGGAGAAAGAGTTAGAGGCAGGAAGATCAGATATGGGGTGGGGCGTTGGAGGAGATAAGTTATAAGGCCTTACTGTCTTTGCCACGACTCAGACTTTACCAGGATGGAAATGAAAGCGTGATAATGCACATCAGCATATTTAAGACTGAAATTTGTCACTAAAGAGACCAGTTAGACTCAGTCCCAAACTTTTTGATTCCCACACTTATTATTAACATCCAATATTATTACTTTTTGCAGAACACACTTTGGTAAACATTGTTAAAAAATACTAGGGGAGTTGTGTTTTGCCATGTGTGTGTGTGTGTATGACAGACAGTCCCTTGTTTTAAGTTTCTTTCTTTCTTATAGGTTATCACTGTGAATACAAGATGCGGACAGGAAGGAAACCTGATGGCTGTGCCATTTGCTTCAAACATTCCAAATTTTCACTCTTTTATCAGTGAACCCAGTGGAATTCTACCGCCCTAATGTTCCTCTGTTGGACAGAGACAATGTTGGATTAGTGTTGCTCTTGCAGCCCAAAGTTCCTAGTGCTGCGTCTCCTGTGATCTGTGTAGCTAACACACATCTCTTGTATAACCCAAGGCGAGGTGATATTAAGCTGACGCAGTTGGCAGTGCTGCTGGCAGAGATTTCCAGTGTTGCCCATCAGAAAGATGGTGGCTTCTGCCCTACTGTTGTGTGGTGACTGTAATTCTGTTCCTGGTTCTCCACTCTAGTTTCATAAAGGAAGGAAAATTGAACTATGAAGGACTTGCCATAGGAAAGGTAAGTGCTTGCTTCACTGTGACGGGGAGGCCGACTTAGCCATTCTGCTCACTGTGATGTGAGGATAGTCACCACACAGCTGTCTGAAAGCCTTGGATGGTCCACACCCTCACTTTATCAAGCTGTGTTGATTTTCCATGACTACTAATAAGCAGTTACATTCACTTGGTTGAGCTTCATCTTTTCCATCTATTGTGGCAACTTTCTGCTTGGAAGAACTGGCAGGCAGCAAGATAATCCAAAATGGGGGAGAAGAAAAGTAAAGGCTTTGATGTACATGAATACTTTATAAATAAGTAATTACAAAGTGGCAGAATAGAGTTTTGAATGCTGAATGTGGGGAGTACAATTGGCAAACAGTAATTTAGTATTTCTTTACTATATAATTTCTCTTTATGTGATGATAAATATTTTAACTCTTTAGCTGAGTATAATTTATCCCATGTTTTTAATTTTCCTTGTGTTTTCTTCTGCTTCCTTTAGATTTGATCTTCAGTACATTTAACCAAAATAAACTGCACCACTGAGTCTTGAGTGACAATTCAGATTTTTAAGAGTTGACCTCTCTTAATATTTTATGTAAGAACTATATTGCAGGTAGCAAAAAAGGACGGACTGTGTTACTCCAAAGCTAGAGATCATTTAGATGTCCAAGTTAAAGAGAAACATTTATAGGAAAAGATTGCTCTTTTCATGTAACTATATTTGAGCAAGATTTTATAAGCACAAATAAACATTAATATAGTGAGTAAAGTGTAACTTTTACCCTTTCTGGATTCCCTTTTATTTAAAACAAACTTTTCAATACATAAACTATTCAGAATCTATTCACTTAAGATACCTGTTGAAATTTTGTTTAGGTATCTGGCCAGGAACAGTCTTCACGGGGACAAAGAATTTTATCTATTCCAATTTGGCCCCCAAACCTAGGTATCTCACAGAACTGTGTGTATGAGGTACAGCAGTTACCAAAAGTAGAAAAGACAGGTAAGTGTTTGCAATACACCTTGGCAGTCGTCTTGATAATAGTGTCCCCTTTGAAGACATAAAACCAAATTTGGAAAGGAATAACATCTCAGGAATGAATATACATTTGTAAAAACATACTTGTTTGCTTATTCCTTTTTTTAAAGAGCTCTACTTTTTTTCATTTGAACTTGCAGATTTATCTTTGCATGAATACTTGCATGTTGCTTTGGAAATGTTTGCATTTTATTTTTCTCATTCTATGAGACCAGCAAAACATAGGGTCCAGGGTGAAACACTTAACAAGGCATCTGTCTGAACTAGAGGTGGCTTAAGTATTGTTTGTAGAGTAAAAGGACCATACTTAGGCAAACTAGAGTAAGACAATATATTGATAGTGTTAATGTATTTCTCTTTGTTCTTACAGACAGTGATTTGACGCAAACACAGCTGGACAAAGCAGAGGTCTTGGTGACAACTGAAAAGTGAGTCCTACAAAGCAACAATAGATACTTGCTGACTTGAGTTGAATAAAAAAAATCATTTCTTGAAAATCACTTGGATAAAAAATGAAGATGGTGATATTCTGTGTTGGTGAAGAATGCTGGCTCTTAGATAGACCTGAGTTCCAATACTGACTTGGCTATTTTTTAACTGTGTGATTTTGAGCAAGAAACTTAACATCTCTCAGGTTCTGTTTCTTACCTAGAATTTGGGTGGTTGTGAGGATTACATGAGACAAAGCACGTATAGCTGTTTGATACATAGTAAGTCCTTAAGCAGCATTCTTTAAAGGAAACAGCTAGTCCATAGTCCTGGACCAGCTAGTATTTCCACATTTGCTGCTGCTACATATTTAAACAAAGATTTAAGAGGATCCTTAGACTCCTTTGATTCACCAGATCTCAAAACTATAGGAGAATTGATCCAAGAAGAATATGCCAGTAGAAAAGAAAATTATTTCTACTTACCTCTTGAACTACAGGAAAAGAATCGAAGGTAGAAGGGTAAAGATGCCTGGATTCTTTACTATGAAAGAAACATCAGTGCTTGGGGTTATAGTTGAGAAACAGATATATGTTAACAGAACAAAGTGGTGACTTTCAATGTCAGCAGGGCTCTATTTTAAGTATTGTCCCTCTTTAAAAAGTCTTGATTGTTTTATATTGTAGACCTTTTATAGTTTTTATTTTTGTTTTAACATTAAACTTAGCAACCAAATTAACATTACCTCTCATTCATTTTTATCTGCTTTCTTCTCTATCTTATTTTGTATACCTTGTTTTGAGAAAATATACCTAGTAAGAAGCTGTTTTTTTGAACTTTAAAAAATTGTTTAAGAATTCATGATTGAGCCTTTCAAATGTAGCAAAAACTTCCCAGAGTAACATTAATAAAAAGGCAAATCGGACTAACAAATACTTAGTTTTGAGTAATTCTGAAATCTTTTTATAACAAAATAGAATATAAAAAAGATACTTCTGAGCATATATAAACACTGTGCTTACACATCTAGCTTATTACATCTGTAAAGTGAGAAGCTGATAGGGAGTAAGACGACAGTTTGCAGGAAACCTGCTTTACATTGTATAATAATGTAAATATAACTCCTTAGTCATAAAAAGTTTGTGAAACTTAGAAGTAAGGGTACTTTGAAGGAATTACCTTTATTCCTTGATGTATGAGCCCTTTAAAAGGTGGGCAGCATCTTCTGCGTGTATCCTCAGCATCTAAGATAGTGCCTGGAACCTAGTAGAGCTTTGCTAAGTATTTATTGAATGAATTAAAAAAAAAACATTTTGTTTTCTGATACATCATGATATAAAAGATCCTTAAAATTTGTGATGTATGAATAGGAAATAATTTTAAACACTTACCCATAACTTCACATGTATTTGTAATGTGAGGTAGATTTAAACCATTATAGAAGCTGTTATAAGATGCAGGCCAAAATTATCTTATATATCATAGCAAGAATAATCATAGGAAAATAGGGCCCTGCTGACATTGAAAGTCTAATGGCATTCCTAAAGGTCACTTCGATTTTCTTTCTTAAAAACACAACAAAGCACTTACATATTGTTTTAGAATATGTGTTCACAAGTAAGGGGAGGCTCTCATGTTGTAATTAATTTAAAAATCACATTAGTATGTTACTGAGTTTCCCCTCCCCCCATGTATATGCCCTGTTAATGGGTGTTGGTCATCACCCCATGAATAAATGAATGCCAAATTATGATATGGTTTGTTTAAATAAAGCTTGTCCTAATGTCTGGCTTTGTGTGGAAATTAGATGAAAAAGTGCTTTTAAAAAGAATTATAAAAGTCATGAGAAACTTGATGGGTGCTAACCACTTTTTCTTTTCAATTTAGATTATCTTCAAATTTACAGCACCATTTCAGCTTGTCTTCTGTTTATTCCCATTATTTTCCTGATACTGGAATTCCAGAAGTGACTACCTGTCATTCCCGAAGTGCCATAACTGTGGATTATATTTTCTATTCTGCTGAAAAGGAAGATGTTGCTGGGCAGCCAGGTAAAGAATGCACATAACCTTAAATTCTGCTTGGGAACACGATAATTAAAACCCCAAGACAAAAGTTGAAGTTACCCAAACATCCAGATGAAGCTCTAGATCTAGAAGTTAAAGATATTTTCAAATCCGTAATATATTTGACAGATTGGTAATACATTTGAATAAATCGGTTAATTACCTACAGAAGATGGAGGCAGTGAAACATCTCAAAGCAAATTTATTCCCTACAAATTATATTCTCAGCTCTACTCTCAGCTGCCGAGTTACAGGTCCTTCATATTGCCCTTGGTTTTACTCGACACAAACTTAAGTGTTCTTTCTTGTGACAGAAACATCAGGTAGTTTAGTACTTAAATTTTACTGAGGCGTGCTGCCTTCACTGTAGGACCTTGTTTATACTGCCAGCAATAGACAGTTTTGTCATGCTGACCCTGGAATATTGGATCACTCTGGAAAGAGAAGTAACATAATATGACTACATGTTTTCAAAAAGCGAAGGTAGAGAAACACTTTTCCTTGTATGGTTCAATGCAAGTAAGGTTATAAATGTTAACCAAAGGATTTAACATGGAGAAGAAAATGCAGTTTAAAATAACTGGAAGTCAAAAAATATTACTCAGAAAACTTTGGGAGTCCAAAAAGTGGGCAGCTGTTTTATCTCATTTTACGTTTTCTCTCTCTCTTTTTTTTGTGTGCTACTTTTCTTTTCCCCTGTTTCCTTCTGTTTATTTTGTGCTTCCTACCGAGGAAAACCTCAGTAGTGATACTCAGGAGGTGGCTTATCCTACCCACTAGATCAACTCTACAAAATACTCTTTCTGCTTTCAACTTGTAGTTCTGGTAGTTGTCATGCTGTCAATTTTCACTAGGTGGCGAGTGTGTGTCATGGACCAGCATCTGGAATGTTGATCCTAAGAACCTGTCCTCTTTACTTTTGTGGGTACTGACTTTCTGGGACCAAATTATACTACCTTTTTCTCCAGTCACCTTATGAACTTCCTGCTCATCTGGGGCTAGTTCTTTCTAGTTTTATACAGCTTCAGAATAATTGATGGATGAATTTCTTAGGGAGTTTTTATACTCAAATTACTCTTAAAATTCTTATGTATTACATTGATATTTTCTTCTAATTTTGCAGAACTTGAAATTTAAAAAAACTGAACTATAACAAAAACAAACACATGAAACTACTGTGTGCTTGAGAATTTTTATTAGGTTATAACAGTAAAAAAATATATATATATAACAGTCTGTTTCATATTAGACTTTTAAAGGATTCTCAAGTTCTGTATCGTTGAGGAAAAGGAGACTGGTGTGATTGAGTTACAGTGACGTGTTGACATAATTTCACTAAATATGTATGTGTTTCTTTAATTTAGGAGCTGAAGTTGCTTTGGTTGGTAGCTTGAAACTTCTAGCTAGACTGTCACCTCTTACAGAACAGGACTTATGGACTGTTAATGGACTTCCTAATGAAAATAACTCTTCAGGTCATCTGCCTTTGTTGGCTAAGTTCAGACTTGAGCTCTGACTCTTCTTTGATTACATACTGTATTCTCTTTCAAAGAACCTTAAGTTCTTAAGAGTTTGCATGTTGCTTATTTTTGTGCTGTAAGAAAACATTGTTAAATGTTTGAAACAAATACCAGAAGAAAAACGTTTACATAATTTTCTTTTTAATAATGAAAAAATATTTTCAGGACAAGTGTGAGATCTAAATGCTCTTTATTGTAAAAGAGTTGTATTTTTTATTCTAAATCCCAGTAAACTGACAGTGATTTTTAAATATAATGCATCTTCTTTAGTCCTGAGTAAAGAATTTCATTTCTTGTTTTTGCAAGCCTGACAGTGGACCCAAAGTATCATTGAGTTCTTGCAGTCCACAACTCATTTCCCTTCTAGAAGGTCTGAATTAATTGTGAGGACGATGTTTATTGAATCCCAGTTAGTTCATCTAAGAAACCATTGGGTCATTTGCAAGTATCCAACCACCATTTTAGTTTTGTTTTTGAGGGTGCTTGATAGTGCATTTTAAAATTGTACAAATTGTTTAATCCATCTTTTTACTATCCTGAGCCATGTAGTATGCCTGCATTTTATTGGGGAAATACCATAGCTAGTAGGATGAGATATTTTATACAACCCCATCCTGTCCATCCTCTAATAGACAGATCATTACAGATGCCTATGAGGCAGAGACTGGTGCCTTTGTTTCCCCACCAATTTTCTTTTTCCTATTCAGTTTCAAAAAGAGATTCCTGGGTTGGGAGAGAGATTTTATTTTACTGAACCAATTCTGTAGAAATTTATTTTATTAGGAAACTTGTCTTTGGAACAAAGTGGCAGCTATAGGATTATTTTTGTTTTGCCTCAGAAATTTGAGGAAGCCAGCAAAACTAGTGGGGAGACACCAATTTAGATACCTAATAATCTTAACTGTTTTAGTGGTTTTTGTTTCTGAGATGTTTTGTTTTCTTTTATCATGACAGCAGAATGAGATGGTGCTGACATTTTATATAAAGTGGTTAAGAACAGGTCTAATAAACCCTGCATTGGCTCTGTATGAGTGTTGAGTAAAAAAATGTTAAAACGTAAGTGAAAATTTCCTCTTATTCAGACATTGGGATCAGTGAATTATGTGCATTTTTACTTAGTAATTTTCTGTTGAACTTTACTGAATTATACAAGTCTTAGTGACGGGTTTTCTTAGTAGAATGCCTCATCTTAAATGAGAAAGCAGTAGTTACTTTATAGTCTTGGACTTTAAAAGTTTTGGTAGTGAAGCACTTGCTTCAATTATTTTTTAAGAAAATAAACCAGATGAATACCCCTAAAATGCATGTGGGTTATAAGAATTTTGCCTAGTAAAAATTGTGATAAGCAAATACTTTTAAATATTTCTCACTTTCTGTGATTTTTACTTGCAGTATTAACTATAGTTCTAGGATTTTCTACATTTTCTAGTAACAGTTTTCAGAATCTTATGTATATCCTAATTAGCAGATATTATCATCATCAAATAATAATATAGTATAATTATTTTTGGGAGCCAGTCTGAACTGCCCATCTGATGGCACAGCCCAGACGCCCGGAAAGAAGGAACCACAATGCGGGCCTCTGAAAGGAACATCCCCACTATCTCTCCTTGTTATTATGGTGTTTGGAAATGTTATTGGTCACTTACACATCTAATTTGGAAAACCAAATTTAAAATACCTTGGGAGAAATGTTAGAGGCAAGACCCCCTCCTAATTCTTCCCGGTGGTAAAGATACCTTAAGACAACTGCTGGGCATAGAAGCCATGGGGCATAAATCTGCAAAGAAGTAAAAAAAGCTCTTCAAAGAATATTGCTTCTCTCTCACTTACCAACTTTACATCTCCCTGTATGGCCCCGGAAGGTGACTGGTTAGCCAGAGACGGGTAAGATTCCTCAAGGGAGGAACAACCTAAGACAGGCACAGTCGCAGGGGGGCCATCAGGTGAACAATAGGGGGTCAACAGAGGTGAGACTCAACCTCACCCCCCAATTTTGAGAGAAATCTTCTGCACCCATGGCCGTTGTTGCCCTTGACTCGCTTGGATCAATACCCAGTTTTAGGCATGGATCTGACCATCTACACTGGCTTTCCTACTGCACTAAACTCTACTTTCCATCTTATTCTACATCACAAGGTTTAAAAAGTAGATTATCTTTTATGAAAAAGTAAACTGTGTTAAAAAGCTTTGTATTAGAAACTGTAGTCTTTATTATATTTACTTACTATTTTAACATTTTATAAAAAAATAAGAGAAGGATACGTAGAAGACATTGGAAACAAGTATCAAGTCATAATAAACAGATTGTTTGAGTGGGTTCCAGTTCCCTCTCCCGGCCCAACTCGGCCCCGTGAGGAATTTCTAAATGACTCCCAGACCTGTTGGGTCCCGGGGAATGATAGGACAATAAAGGACAGTCAGCGTGAATGATGGCATGTCAAAGGGCCTGGCATGATTACAGAGACTCTCCCGATAGAAAAGATCACTACTACAGACATTATTGTAAATGGTTTAAGGAAACTCTAAGACAGACATGCCCCTGCTTCCCCCCCCTAGGAAGAGAAGTGGCCTGACTGGGCCCCTGTGCCTTCTGACTCAGTGGTCATTGTCCCCTCCCCCAGGGGCAATGCGCTCGTCTCTCCAAAACTGGGCACCTACCCAAGGGTACAGAGTTTTCAGTTCCCGCAATTACAATCAGCTTAGTCTTGCTACACTGCTCTGATGATACACTGTTTTGATGTTCTTTGTTAAATCTGTGCATAGTGCTCTAAACCTAGAAAAATAGACTTAGCTATATTTGTTAATCAGATGAATAGGAACCATGGCTATTTTAGAATCAATAATAAGGAAACTGCAAGTAGGGCCCAGGCCAACCAGGCGTGAGGGAACAGGTCGTTTGGGAAGCCAAGGAAGCATAAGTGCAAAAAATTAATGATTGCTAAGGCGCCAGTAATCTAATTTCTAAAGATTGACCTTTATGTGAACATTTTTTCTGAAAGAATCAAATGATCTAATCTTTGTGAAACTGCATACTCAAAACATATATGACCTTGCTAAACTTCAATAAAACAGGCCAGGCTCAGCTTTGCTAGTGTCTGTGTCCTCATTCATTCCGTCAGTCGCCGATGCCATTCCTCCTTCAGGGACCCCGGGACTCACCAGAGCTGGACTCCAGCAAATTATCCCCTTTTAGTATTGAAGAAAAACGAAAGTTCACTGATTACTACTTTATGTGCTCTCATTAACAGATAACTTTGTAGTTTGTTGACAAACTAACATCCCAAAAAACCTGTGTGAAAATTGAATTTTTTGTATCCTAATTAATGTGCTTTCAGGCCCTTTGATGGTTGCTTCCTTCTTAAGCTTATAAAATTACATACTGTTTTGTGGACTGGAGGCCACAGGGTCAGTGTACCTTCTCACAGGTTTTTAAAGTTCCACTAAAATTATCCCCTTGCCTACTCTTTTTGGTCAGAAGAGCTGGTAACTCCATTGGAGCCATGTATTTACCAGCCAAAGCAATTAAATCTGGTTAACTGATGAAAACCAAATTGTCCCATCCAAGTGCTGTACTATGCATGCTTTAAATGGAAAGGGATGTTGTGGAGTAAGGATATTTTGGCTTTTACGATCCTTTTGATATCAAGATAGTATGCATGTTTGAAATTATCTTTTTTTTGGAATTTAGCAATTGTCTGCTTTTAATCTTTTGCTTTCCTCAAAAACTAAGAGAGTTCAAGGGGTTGGGTAAATAGAAACAAGTCATGTGTACTTTGTACCTGGAAATTACCTAATAAATTATTACACTCGTACATTTGTGCCTGAAGGTTTTGTGGTAGGTGCACAGAGCTGTGTAAGCTGGCTTATTGCCTCTTCTAAACTATTTCATTAATCTAAGCCTTCATTACTTAGGGTGATGCTGAAATATAAGTGAATTAAGTAATGTTTAATATAGAGTCTGAAAATTGTGGAAGATGACAAGGGTACCAGAGTGATAAGTTAATTTAATAGGACAGTGTTTAATAAGAGGACAGACTCACCTTTTTGGAAGAAAAACAATCCTTAAGTTTCCAAGATGGTTTTATTAAAGACCCATGCTGCTGTGTATAAACATACAAGTGATGAGAAAAACATTAACTTGAAACATGCACTTATCTGGCATTCTTTAAAATACCATTATACAAGTTTTCATTTACTTAGAAAAATACCCACTAAAACAATCACAGTTTTGCTTAAAGTTAAAAAAAAGATGTATTGGCCAGAACAAAGTCCAAGAGAATAAACAAGATTCTGAATCGTGTCAAAAAACTGTACAAGGTTGTACATAAAACTATAGATTACAAAAGCCTCGGGTATAGTAAGAATACTGAATTAAGATTTCCAAAGTTCTATTTACCAATATCTATTAATAAAATCCTTATGAAATAATTGATTAGAAAAAGTGAAATGCTCATGATTTCAGAGTGTATAGAAAATACTAAATATCACTTTCTGAAATAAAGTGTACTCAAACCAGCACGTGTAGCCTAAAATCAAGATTTCTGTCACTCATTTAAACTTTGCATATATTGCTAGATGGCTTAAGCATAAAATTTCTTTGATATTAGTGACTTTTAAAAAAAACTTCAGTTTTAGTTTTTATCTTTTGAATTATAGTCAGTTTTAAAATAATTTTTGGGGGTAGGGGGTAAATCAGGTCATTTTTTTTCCTTGTCTTAATATTTAAATTATGTTACTGCACTCAAATTTAGGAGTGTGGTGCCTTTCCCCTATCTTTTAGAAATTAACATGCTCCACAGGCAATAAAAATAGAATGACAACAGAGAACATTTACAATTTTCATGTTTCTGTAACAAATTCTTGCTTTGGGGAAATGAATATTAAAATCAGTAAGTGAGTGTAGAAAAAACTAGGTTACTAATGAATCATCAAGCCAGTTGGCAGTTTTAAGGCTTATACATCAGCATGTTAGAAAAAATTTGTATTCCTGTTATTTTCCCCTTTTCTGTGAGAAACGAGGCTATGCAACTATTGACATTTTGTATTTTAGATGGGACAGTACCTAAGTAATATTGGAAAGTCATATTTCAAGCTCTTAGAATGACTGTAATGTTATAAGTAGTCTGCTGGATATAATAAAAGTTTCATATTGATAAAGATATATATATATATATATATATCTCATATATATATACACATATATCTTAGGTCTCAGTAAAGGGAAAACTAAGTATTGTTTCTGAATGAGAATGAAATGATTCACTGACTACTCCAGACACCTAATATACATGGTCATGAAGCTGCAAATGGGTTTGCCTTGTTAAGGTATACAAAGATGACTCATTTTAAACTGTTAAGAATAGTATTCTTAAAGTGATTTAAGTTCAGAATTTTTGACTTAATGCTGTTTTTAGTCTAATTGAGAGGTATGCATACTTGGTTTTTCCATGTAAAGTCCACTAGACTTCCTTTTTTAAGAAAACAGTACTTTGCATTAATGACATTAATGTTTAGGTGAAGTGAGCTCATGTGCACATGGCTAAAGGATGAAGTAAGTTCTTTTGCCTTCCACGTCTCCCTCAGAGGTCTTAATGGTAAAGAATCGCAGATTCTTATTTTTTCCACTTCCTTCCTAAAATCACCTTCGGTCAAAGCCAGAGAGGAAGCCCTGAGACTGGAATCACTGTTAAGTGTCTTCCCTTACATCTTACATACACTTTTTGGACTCATGAGTTGGCATGGTTGCTAAGATAAAACAAATGAAATAGCTGTATTTTTTTTTTATCGCCTACAGATTTGGAATGCTGTTAAGAGTTATTCTGTGTGGTCTGCATCCAGAAGTTACACTGTAACTACCATATGTAGGCCAGATTTTCACTGTGCTTGGACTAAATCACACTATAAGGTATAACACTGTACCTAAAGACATCTCCATTATTAAAGAAAGGTTCTGCTTCTCTTAATTCGTTGCATTTTCCAGCACCAGTTCCTATACGGCATGAAGTGGTACCTAAAATCAAGGCACTGGAAAAAACCACATAGTGCCACATTTAGTCTTAATATAAGACATCAGAACACATCTAATAACAGTGAGTCCTTCAGAATCAAAGCCTGACTTAAAAGTTTAAAAGTCAGGTGAAATGTGAACAGAAAGGTTATCTGGTTCTCAAGACCTACGAGTTCACTCCTGCCCCATGCATTTCTGAATGTTACTGTCAGAGGTAACTGCAATACTGCGGAGTTATTGTAACAGCCCACGTCCTCCTGTGCTGGAGTCTGCAAAGTTTATGTTTGTGACAGAACATAGACTAGCTTCTGCACGTGCTTTTGTTCTTTTGAAATAAAAACTGCTGTCAGTGAATACTTCAAGAAAGACTAAGAAAGAAAGAACTTCAAGGTCCTGGAAATAGTTTCCCATATTGCCAGAATTGTCAGTGCTTTTTAGAAAAACACCTGACACAATACCTTAAAACTCATCACATGTGTGCACCAGGAAAAAAATCCCAAACTTTGTGGAGATCCCCACTGGAAATATTAAAGAAACAATACAAATAGAATATAAAAAAAACAAAACAGTAAGTTTGCATATCTGATGTCATGATGCTGAGGTAATCTTGACTGCTTAAAAAAAATCCCACCAATCTTTGCCTCTGTTATTGCTAAAAAAAGACATAAACACTGATTGAGTTACCTTACCATATCAAAAGTGAAAGGGAGGATTTCATGAACATTTACTACTGGTGAAGTACAATGTTCAAAGCAAGTAGAAGTAGGTAAATGGAAAAACATAAAACTACAGTTAATGGTATCCTTCTATCCGCAGTGAGTGACACTACATCCCCGGAAACAGGGGTTAGTCTTTTCATGGTTGCCCCTTGGTGAATTTTTTAAAGTTAACACCCACTCAGATTCTATTTCTAAGCAAATCCTTAAAAATAAAAGTCACAAGTTCTTAATAAATAGTTGCAGTTCCTCCTGAAGATGCTGGGTAAAGTGCAGAGAGAAGCACCATAGAAGCCCTCTTGCCAGCTGGGCGGCTTGCCTAAATTCGGATTTGATAGCCCACTTCATTCAGAGTGCTGAGATCAGCCCCCTTCTTTTCAGGCAGTGCAGGCCTAAGGGTAAGAAAGTGGGGGAGAGGGAATGGGATGTAGAAAGAGGTCATTTAGTATTTTGGGCGCATCTACTTGATTTTCTTAACCTTTTTGGTATTTGGCCCCCTGCTACCCCCTGCCAGCCTCATCTCCCAGTACCTCTGGTTCTCAGGTTCACCTTGATAGGTTTTTAAAACACTTTAACAAGCTTTCAATATAGATTTGAAAAAAATGTATAGGTTGCTGAATGAGCTTGAATTTGTTCACCTTTAAGCCTGAATTTGGTCACAGTGTAACTTCTGAAACCCAGTATCTGTAAACCTTGCAAAGGTCACATATACTACAGAACTAAAGTCTGAGCCAAATTCTCTGAACTCTTGGCTTCCTAGGGATTGTGCCCTGGGGGAAGCCCAGGAACTACACATCTCGGGAGACTTAGATTCTCAGTGGAGAGATGCTCAGAAATCTTTAATAAAGGCTGAATATTCCAGGCCTGAGTGTATAAAATCAGAGTAAATCTTCCGGGATTCACCTGAAAAAGCGTGTTGGTGTGGAATACCAGTGGCAAATCAACTCTCTTCTCTAAATTCATTTTCTAAAGTACTTTCCAGTATAAAACTACACCTGAGCATTTATGTGAAGTCAATGTAAGAAAGTACTTCAAGCTGGGGGAAAAAAACTCCATAGCACATCACCTGTCTTCATTAAAGACATTTCCTAAATGACCAGGATACAACACCTAAGCATGCTCATGATTTATCACACAAGTTTTCCCTGTCTTAATAAGCCTCTTCTTACCTTTGATAAGAGAGAACAGACTGTAAACCAAGTTTAGGATGTTCAATATGTCTTTTTACAAAAAAAGATGAGACATTTTTAAGTCTGCCCATGAACCTTGTTTTAAGTGTTTTTAAAAAAGACTAAATTGAAAATATGATTGTTTAAAAGTTTCTTGGTTATACCTTTGCAAGATTTCCTAAGAGCAAATGGTGTTACCCTGGCATGAATGTTGTCCAACTCTTTCAATGTGGATAAAACCAAAAATCAACTAACTTCTATCCAATGCTGCTTAATGAAGGAGGACATAGGCTCAAATTCTGGCAACAAATTACACCACCCTACATACTCTCATTTTCCCCCACCCCTCCTGTCCCTTTCTCTTTTTGCCAGAGATATCCCATCTCTGAATAGCCATAAACAGTCTCTGATCAACCCCTCTGAATCTTCATTATTCAAAGCAGTCAAGAAACCTGACTTGCTACTTGGCATTACTAAATAACGTAAACTAGCTTGTGTCAGTGTTGCATGCGGCTTATTTTTCAGCTTGATCATTTGCCCTGCTTTGTTAGTCAGGAATCACGTCTCTTTGTCTTCTCGTGGTGCCCAGGATACACAGGTGCTGCTGATAAAATATGGCTGACTGTGGGTAGAAATCCTGTAAGCTTCCTTGTATGTCAGTTCATTGTATCAAAGAGCTCAAGACTTCTGACCTTCAGGGCAATGGCATCCTGCAGCCCCCGTATGTATGCCCTGGAGATCTGCCATTCCCTATAAGCACAGTCATTGCCTACTGGCCTGGTAGTTGGCTCCCAGGGCCACTGTGAGGACCATTCTTGAGTTGACGACTAAAGGGAGTACATTTTGCTTGATTCAAACTTCAATTTCTGCCCTAGTCCTCAGCCACTGACGTGGGGAGAAATGGGGTTCTCACATCACACACTGGTCAGGTTCAGAGTCCATATGTATCTAGTTCACTTTGTCATAAAGCCTGAAATGAAGTTTCTGCTTTGTTCCCTTGCCTGGGGTGATGTCATCTTTACAAGTTGCTAATATGCGACTTTCTGCCTCAACTAGACTCCCTGTAAGTTAGCATCAGCCTAAGGCAAATGTGGTTAAAAAGGTTAAGTGTTCTGCTACCCTCCTCTCTTGCTCCACATGGGAAATCCGGGAACCAAAAACCCCCATACCAAAGGGGAAGCTTGAAATACCATGTGCATTCCTTACTTTAGAAAAGGATTAAATGGGGTCATTTCCTAGAAGTATGTCCACACTATCTTTCCTGGTGTTAAAACTATGTATGCATATATTCTTTATCCAGACATAAATTATTTTGTGTTGTATTTATTTAGCTAATGTTTTTAATGAAATGTGTGTGGCAGAGTCTGCTGGTTGCCCCTCAACGTCCCCCATTCTTCCTCAGTAAAAACACCCCTGAGTTTTAGCTGGACACAGAGCTGCCTAGAATACAAACTACATTTCCCAGCTTCCCTGAAGCCAGGCATGGCCTTAGACTAAGTAGCAGCTAATACGATGGAAGTGGAAGTGTGGTGGGGCAGTCCGTTCGTTACCAAAACACCTCTTAAAAAGAACCAGCATGTGCTCTTTTTCTTTCCTTTTCTCTTCTTCCTCATGGAAGCAACGGGTGGAACACGGCCCTCCAAGTGGCACAGTAAAGAGCCAGAGGAGCTGCCTGCCACCTCTCTCAAGCTTCGTTCACATTGTGGTTCATCATTTTCAAGCCACAGCTTCGCCCGAACACCCTCAGCCAAACTTGATCCCACTTCCCTCCATTAACTAACAACACTAATTCAGACACGGTGCTAGTAACGATGTTGAGTCGGCCTGAGGAAGGTTATATGGGACAAGAACATCTTCCCAGCAAGTTATCCACTCAGAAGAAGTGCCTGAAATTGAAAATATGATTGTTCAAAAGTTTCTTGGTTATACCTTTGCAAGATTTCCTAAGAGCAAATGGTGTTACCCTGGCATGAATGTTGTCCAACTCTTTCAATGTGGATAAAACCAAAAATCAACTAACTTCTATCCAATGCTGCTTAATGAAGTCCAGAAACTCCTTACTTTACCCTAAAGGAAGTCCAGAAACTCACTTCTAAGTCAGTCTTTTTCCCTGGACCCCTGCACACTATGGAGGACCTAACCTACAGTGGCTCTTGAGATCTCCTACATTGTCCCTGAAAATTAAGCAATTCCTTGTGCTTCACAAGAGAATCCATTGTCCTGTGGTCCTTGGGGCACCTACGAAGGTAGCTCACCCGTTTCTGAACCTTTCCTGCCCACACTGTCTTCCTGGCCTGCCATCCCCTCACCAAGTCACACCTCTCCTTCTGCAACCCTCAGTGTGCTGCCCTTCACGGAGGAGGGTGACGCTAGTAGGACACTAGCTCAATGCGTCTTTTCAGGTGTTGGAATAGATCTGTGCTGACCTATTTTCTCTCCCTCGGTCCTGTGACCAACAGCACCTGCTGGAAAGTTGGTGGCAGGACAGGCACCAGGGAAGGAAGAAGAGAGCAAACTCCATGCAGCCCTGTAACGTGGGCTTCCCCGGGATCGCTGCAACGACTAGCCGCAGGCACGCCGCCGCCACCTCAGGAGCCACTTCCAGGTCACTCACCTGCTTCCTCACTTTGGAGACTCTCAGGCCTGAGGAACAGAATTTTCACCGTGTTCTTTGGAGTGTGTGTGCCCCTGACACCTCACCCTTTCCTTTTACCCATGTTCTCCTATTGGATTTGTTGGATATGGATAGACCTTAATTTGGGGGTCCTTGGCCTCCTTTTTCTAAACCTCCCCTTGACCCTTCCACCAGCTCTGCCGTGCCTTGCAGGTGCTGAGAAATCACCATTATAAATAGCTGCTATTTATTAGGCACTTACTGTGTACCAGGCATTGTTCTAAGAGGTTTACATGGACCAGTTAATTCTCGTCATAACCTTATGGGGTTGACTCTATCACAACCTATCTCACAGAGCAAGAAACAGAGGCACTGAAAGTTAGGGAACTTGCTCAAAGCAAAGCTATGTGGTCAGCAGGTGGCAGAGCCAGTGTTCCTCCCTGGATTCTAGAGCCCATGCCCTTAACCCCGATGCAAACTGCCTCCCATCTCCCGCATCCTAAGCATGTGAGGATGGCACCACGGCCACTCCTGCCTCTGCACCTGGGCTTATGCAGTGCCCTCCCCCACATCTTCTTGTCATCCCTTCAAGGTCCAACCCAAATGTCAACTCTCCCAGTTCTCTTAACTCCCAGAACTTAAGTATGTTCTGCCTGCCTTCCCTCACAATGCACTGCTCCTTGTTCTGCATGCTGTGGCATTTCCTTTTGTACACCTGCTAAAGAATCCTGCAGGCTCACAATCCTTGTGCCTGCCTCAGAGACTGTGAACAGCTTGAGAGCAGCAACCAAGTCAAGTCATCTAAGAATCCCCACTGGTGAATATCTTGTAACTCTCAACAAGCTTGAGTCAAGTTCTCACTAATGTGTAAATGGCTGATAGAGCTTCATTATGTTACCTTTGTCACAGGATAACTAACAGAGACAAAGTCCTAAGACAGGATTTCAAGTCACCGTGACAACAGTCTAAGAATTAACAAGTAGGAACAATCCTGTTTTTGCATGGGAAAGGCTTTACCTTACGGCTGAACGCCACCTGCAGGCCCTGCATACTTGTAAAGCTGAATGTGGATCACAGTGACCACAGAGAGCTTGAGGACTTCCAAAGAAAAGGGACTGGGTTGTCACCTTCCTCTGTATCCCGACCCCTTCCACCACCCCTACGTACCCAGAATCCAGGGAATAATAAGGATACTGGCAGAAGATGAGTTCAGCTGAGATCCCTGGTGAACTGCCTGGAAGAGGAAACCCTTTTCTTTCACAGCAACCCTGGCTGCGATTCCCGGGCCTGGCGAAGGGCAGAAGTGGGTTATCACTGCACGTCACCTGCCTGCAGGGCCCAGCCCAAAATACTCTTCAGTCCTTGCCAGCTCATCTCAGGGCCAGAGCCGGGAGAGCCTGTGTGTGGAGAAGCCTCTTCCAAGCACTCCCCCAGCTATAATTAGAGTACTGCAAGGGGATTTATTTTTAAGAAACACAAGAACCAGGATAATGATTCAGCTGGGGCTGCACTTGCCCAGAAGCTCTCCCTGGATCTAGGGTTATTATTTGAGACTGAACAATGTATTTCTCCAGACTCCTTCCCAGTCCAAACAAGGAAAATCCATCAA